GCACCTCTACCTCCGCCAGCAGGACCTCAATTTCAGACTCAGTAACGTTTTTCTTTTTCTTTGTGCTCATCATTCTAAAGCAGGGGTGCCCAACCCTGCTCCTGGCGATCAACTGTCCTGCAAAGTTTAGCTCCAACTCTAATCAAACACACCTGCCTTTAATTTTTAAGTGATCCTGAAGACCCTAATTAGTTGCTTCAGGTGTGTTTGATTAGGGTTGGAGCTGAACTTTGCAGGACAGTCGATCGCCAGGAGCAGGGTTGGGCACCCCTGTTCTAAAGCATAGAAATTCGGATATTGGCGTGTGCTCTTTTATACGGTAATGGTATTGATTAGGGGGCGTTTACAAGGCGGAGATCTGACACCAGTCATCTGCGCACAATTTCAAGATCATTTGCGATTTATAAATGTCACATCTGGAAGAGAGGCGTACGCACCTGTTTTTGTGCGCACAATCGTTTTCTCTGAATCGCACTTACTCACTTTTGAGAAATGATCTTAGAACAAATTTAGGACGGTTTATACGCAACATTTTATAAATGAGGCCCCAGATTCCTCCATGTGGGCAAGTACCCGACAAGTGAGCCGACAGTGTCTGATAAAACTGCTGGAAAATATTGACCTTGTCATTAGCGGTGCAGTTCAGGAATCAGGCTAACCTATAAGCGAGGGCTCCAGGGAATCAATGGCCAATCAGGGGTGTTTAAGTTGGACAGATTCCACTCATCACTCAAAATGCTGGAGGTTTTGTTAATTGCTGAGTTCTAATCAACGCTCACCAATCCTCTCATTGTAACAAAGCAATGAACACAATGTAAATAAGAGATGAATTGTGCATTGCAGAGCTTCATTTATTATACTGAAGTGAGTGACAGATTTTAGTGATTAGAAGGGGAGCGCTTGCATTCTTTCTTATAAATAACAAAATAATAAAATGTTTAGTTCTAAATGATTACATTAGGTGTTAGGTATATACTATACATTATTCATTCACATGGCAATGAATGTCTCACAACAGAGATTTAAAAAACTAATCCAGCAGCGACACTTGTAGTGAAGAGAACATTGAATTAAAAACTGATGCCATTTGGCTTGAGAGCCTTCCTCAGGGAACACAGCAAGCACAATGCATGGACATTTAAAAATCATATTCATATTAAGTTACTCATTCAATCTCAAGAAACTGCTAGCAAGTTCCACTCACAACATCACATTTCATTTTAGAAAGTAATTACTGTTAAAACACAATCAGGTTGACTAATTAATTTCTGAATTCTGCAATTTGCTTAGGGCCCCAAATCACTAAGTCCACCCCTGGGTAGCCCAGTTCAGAAACCACTGATAGCTTGCCAGCTGCTTTCAAATGTGCCATGTTTGTGTTTACACTGTGAAGTTTTACATTTACAATGAAATAGGCAATCACAGACATGTCTGTTGAGCACATAAACAGAATCAGAGTCCAGTCAGAGGTATTAACATGCCGTGAAACTACTCACTCAATAAATAAAAACGGACATTGCTGTATTTTGCTTTTCTGCTATATACTGTATATTGCGATATAAACAATACAGTAATTTTTAACAGATTTGAATAGCTACTGTATATTTAAAAAGTATGAATCATTTTAGAGTTAGTGGGGTAATTTTGTTAGGGAGTGCATCTATATAGAAAATAAAAATAAGAAACAGCTAAAAAATGTATTTAAAAAATAACTAAAATAAAATTGTATTTGTCATGATTTTATTGTTAAATAATGGTTATAATATTGAGATTATTGTGATATTATGAAATAAAAACAAACTGATAAATATATAGTAATAACACTGTAAAATTACAAAACTAATATTGATGTCTTAAAGGGATAGTTCACCCAAAAATGAAAGTTCTGTCATCATCTACTCATCCTCATTTTGTTCCAAACGTGTGTTTCTTTCTTCTGCAGAACATAGAATAAGATATTTTGAAGAACGTTGGTAACCAAACAGTTGCTGGTAGCCACTGACTTCCATAGTATGGACCAAAAATACTATGGAAGTCAATGGGTACCGTCAACTGTTTGGTTACCAACGTTCTTCATTCTTCTTTTGTCCTTGAAAGTTATACAGGTTTGGAACAACTTGAGGGTGAGTAAATGGTGACAGAACTTTCATTTTTGGGTGAACTATGCCTTTAATTTCTTCATTTTCAAAGGGTAAACCATCAAGCTTTTATTTTGATGGGTTGCCAAGAAAGAAAAAATATTTCGAGTTTCATTGTGAAGTTCAGCTCTGTGTGTTAATGCAGCTCATGATATCAGTGTCTCAGAACAGCTCCATTCACAGTAAATGAATCAACACTCAAACACTGTATCATGAACTACAGGTATGTAAATGTCGCACTTGAAACCGGTAAAGCATACAGTATTTAATTAAATTGCCACCTGTGTGGTCTGACAATCACACTTTTATTTTGATATATCGTTTGATATATGCTGCTAATGCGGGCGTGGTTTGGGTGGCGAACTTTGTCAAATGGGTCGGTCAAGTATGGAATTAAATTAATGCTGCTATCAGATAACGGTTATCGGTTTGAAAACAGAAGCTACATAGTAGCTACATAGTTTCAATCATGAATAAACCTTTAGCATGGTAATGGATATGGGAACTCAGTGTATTTGTTACTTGCTACTGCTAAGACACAGGTTTCTGGGCCACCTGAACAGCATATTGACTCGGGGCCCCTGTGTTCTGGTCAAAATCACATTTTTGTCCCCCCCTCGGTAGAAATCGTGTTTGGGCCACATTTCCCTCGTTGGGCCCTTCCCCCCGTTACGGTGCCCCTGTTATAAGACACTGCAGTGAGCTTGTAAAACATACTGCTGCAGCTGCAAAAATGCACATATGTAAATGCCCTGTAAGCAGATCTAGACAAGTGGTGCTGGGGAGGAGGAGGGTTAAGAGAAAAATTCTTGTTGTAATGAACCAGTTTACAGTAAAACTGGAGTATTTACATGTTAGCATTAAATGGAGCATTACAAGTAGAGAACCTATCTAATCTAGTATTTAAGACAATTGCGAGTAAATTTCAAACCATAATTTTTGTACATTGTGAGAACATTTAGTATCACCAGTTTTGCATGTCTTTGGATTGAGGGGGAAAACAGGGCATCCTGAGGACATCCACACAAACACCACACAGAAAATGTCTCCTGGGACTCGAACCTTCTTCTGTGAGGCAGAAGCGCTACCTAATGAGCCACCCAGCATGACTGTGAATTATTAGCATTTTATCCTGTATATGTAAATATTGTATGCAGCTTGTGAAGAACAGTGCTAAATAAGATCTTTAAAAAAATATGTTCTTTGTTCTTATTGTAATGTGTTTCCTTATTCATCCATCAGTGAATGTTTGCAGCTTTTGTAATAGTAGTGAGTCCCGTAATTGTCCTCGGTGATAAAAGTTGAAGCTGTTGGGAAGAGATGGAATGTGGAGATGCAAAACCAAAAATTGTGCAAGAAAACACTTCTCAACAGGATCATTTGTGTCACTGCAGTTATTATTGTGTCATGTGGCATGTAATTGAAATTGCTTAATCAGGGGGAAAAAAAAACTTTTTAAAACAATCTTGCAGACTCTACAAGGTGTATGCAAACGTATGACCTCAGTTGTGCAAAGTAGTTAGGTGAACACAGGCGTGGAAACACAACATAGCTCTTATATCATGTACAGCTGGATTGACTGAAACACTTCCAGCATCTGGGACCAAATGCAAAACATTTTATGCTGCTACTTGAGGACAATCAGTTTAATCCGTGTGGTTTTCCCTGTGTCATAGTCCGGTAAGCGTGGGGAGCTGGGAGCCAAAGGAGTTGTAGGACCACAGGGAGAGACCGGAGCCAGAGGCGCACCTGGAAAACCAGGACCGATGGGATTCCAAGGAGAGCAAGGTTTTCCAGGGGTCTCTGGAAAGACTGGTGTTCCTGTAAGCACCTGCCAGACGATACATGTTGGTACTGCGCTGTAAACACAGAATATATCTCAGGAGTGCTGTTGTGATTATGTTGCAGGGCAAACTGGCTAGTGAGCAGCACATCAGAGAACTGTGTAGCTCGATGATCGATGGTAAGACCTTTGTTCACCCATAAACGGCATATATTGATGCAGTTTCACGATGCAGCCTGTAGTGTATTGCTGGTGTTGATCTCAGATCAGATGGCTCAGCTCGCTGCTAACCTGAGAAGGCCTCTGGCTCCTGGTGCCGTGGGACGGCCTGGACCAGCCGGGCCTCCAGGGAAGCAAGGAGAGGTTGGATCCATCGGTCACCCTGGAGCCCTTGGCCCGCCGGGTTACAGAGGACTGCCGGGAGATCTGGGTGATCCTGGTCCTCGAGGTGAGAGACTGGTCATGTTGTGCTTTTGTTTTAGCAAATGGTTAAAAGGATAAATGTGTACAATGCAATGTCATTGAGGTTGCTTTCTAGTCAGTTAATGCAGTGCATTTGTTAAGAGTATTAATTATATTAGTTAAGAATATTAATCTTTAAATACAACTGTTCATTGTTAGCTCAGATCCATTAAATAATATTAAGACAACTTTTGATTTTAGTTTGACTTTTTATTGATGGTTCATGTTAACTAATGTAGTTAACATTGTATTGAACAGAACCTTATTATAAAGTGTTTCCTCAGGACAGGCTTTAACTGCTTGAAAAGCTCACTCACATTCTATAGGTGCAGAGTATTACATTTTTTTTTTTTTTTTTTTTTTTTTTTACAATTGCTAAGATACATTTTTCAATACTTGGGTAACTTTTTCAAAACTCTTCACGCAGTTCTCCTTACCCAACTTTAGCTTGGCACAGCAGTCAATTATTTCACATCCAGAACACACTAACACTACCAGAACAGTTCATACATGTCTCAAAAACAAATCGTTCTTTGTCACTCACAAAACAACCTAAAAACACTAACATCACATAGCATTATAACAATGTTTACTTCTGTACTTTTTTTTTTTTTTTTTACTAAAGAATAAATCTTGTCACTGTTGAGAATTCACTGCAGTATTTATGAATTTGCAATGTTTACATTGCAGTACTATATTATTTCTAAGTTTCCTCATTTGTATAGGTACATGTACATGTTTGTGCCCGAGTGAGAAATGAAATCATGTCATTTGAAAGATTTCGTCACTGAGTGTATTTTGTGTCAAAGCAATGATAAATGATCCAGACTGCTGTTGTGCTCACTGTGTGAAGAGTTTTGAGAAATGGGTCCTAGCAAATGAAAAAACAGTTTTTCACTGCTGTGAAAAATGATATTTGCTATTATGTATATGAATCCAGGAAAAATTTTATATTCTAATATGAAATCATATACCGCATTCCGGAATGAATTTGGATGTATCTTAATTCTGCAGGAGATGTGGGCGAGCCAGGTGATAAGGGGCCTGTAGGTAAAGCCATCGAAGGGCCCACTGGAGACCAGGGTGACCCGGGTATGTACAGTCTGTTCATAAGCACATTTAATACCCGCCCCAGTCAACCATTCACACACACACACACAAATACTGTGTAATCAACATCAAATATTAACTTAAAAAAACAGTTCCTAAATGAATAGCGTGCAAAAAATAAGGTAGTTGGGCCAGAGATGGCAGGCAGTACTCTTCCTGACTAAGAACAACCTGGCATCGATTCCCAAGAACACGCCAGTGGACGTCTGTGACTTCATTAACTGACGTGAATGTTCAGCTCAAACTAAACTACAATAAATAACAACAATAAAGTATATGAGCAATCAATCATAAAATGATTATATGTAACTGTACTAGATCTGTCGGTCTAATTAGACATTTCCAATGAAAGAAACCAGTTTCAGCTGAATAACTGAATAGATGTGCAGTTCTTGTAGTTCTTTTTCAAACATTGTCCTATATCTATCTTCTCTATGGCCACCAGGTCTGCCAGGCGTGCATGGCATCGTCAAAGACGGCCGTGATGGAGCACCTGGAGATCCAGGAGAACCAGGAGAAGCAGGAAGAGCCGGCAGACCAGGACACCAGGGATCACCCGGCATCTGTGACACTTCAGCGTGCCAAGGAGCCATGGTTCACGGGAAGTCCTCCAACCCTAAGAACCATTAACAGGAGAACCAGCAGAATTCCCTTTCAGGAATGCTTCTGGAGGAGAAACGGAACAGTGGATGTCAAACCAGCGTTTCAGAGCGGAACGAACATTGAGCATCAGAGTGGAACGTACAAGAGGCTTGAAGTACCAACATGTGTAGATACAACAAAAGACTAAATACATCACACCGTGAAACTAGTTGATGCGGAAAATAATTCAGTCCTTGTATTAGAAGTCTTCTTGTACAGCACCCTTTAAAAGTGTAATGGAGCACAACTTTGAGCTTCAAAACCTGACCTCGACAACAGCAAACAAACAAGCAAACTGGAGGCTTGTTTGAGGCATCAAGAAATGACACCAAAATATTGGATATATTTCTGTAAATTGATTTTCTTTGCCATTTTATTCTTACGTTTACATTTAGTTCTTAAATGTTTAACATTGAAAGTCACTGTTTGAGGAACAAACTTCAAGCATCGATTGAGATGCTTCAGACACACTTACTGTAAAATATGTCATTGGCCATCTGTGGGCTTTATCGACCTTATCCACTAGATAATGGTGCTGTTAAACTATTAAATATGATTTTAAATACTATTTATTATTTCTGAGTTACTGTTGTGTGTACAGTGTTTCTACGGCATGGTATTGTAAGAAAAACTGAATAAAGCCACTTTTCAGTAAATTATTTCTCTTAATAATGCTCATGTCTCTGAACCTTCGTTAGTACACTAATAATAAATACATTAAATATATAATAACGCTTATATAACATACATTAATACAAGAAATGATCATGCCTTTCAAACAAACAAGGCATAAAAATACAAACAAATACACATTGCAACTTCTCTAAATTTTTGAACTATATTACAGTACACTTTCAATGGGCACTGAGTTTGCTCTGCAGACTTGACAGTTTCCAGTCTCAATGGGTTGTGTCTCGTTCTACACTCGAGCTGGTCTATGACAACAAGCGGTCAGGGACTACTGGACACGGACTATTAGCATCATGCAATAAACCCATCAGAAAAGCATTGAAATGACAGACTTCGTTTACACATCCACAACTCTGCGCTTCTACATTCTTCAGTCAGCTGTGTGAGGATGAGTTCTCAGGTTTTGTCGTGTTTCTATAGGGTTCGAGGAGATATGCCACTGAAACACAGTGCTTTGTAAATCCTGAAACCGAGTGGATTTCTGCATGTTTATGAGCTGAAATGTAAGAAGTAATACCCCCGCTGGTTCACTGATGGTCAGAGGACTTCAGGAACAGTTTCAAAAGACTCTGTGCCATTCACGAGATAAGAATAATACAATAATAATACACTGAAATATAACAATATCGAAATAGGTCACAGCAGTTTTACAGTAGTTCACAGAAGTGCATAATAAATACGTTATTAAAGATACATCATATTAGTAAAGAGCCTACAAACATTAGTAACACATTAGGTAACGTTAAAATAGGTCACACCTTACAATAAGATTCACCAAAGTAAATCATAAATACTTTTAGTAAGGAGTTCACAAACATGCTCTGATGTTTTCCTGAGGTTCACACAATGCTTTATTGCTCTGCAGTAATAAAATACTGTTTATTGTTAGTTCATGGTAACGAATATCTCTTTGGTTTTGAGACTTTAGTCTTTGCAACTTCAGGGATCTTATCTATGCACAATCAGCTTGTAACACTCCAAAGAGAAAGGAAAACTTGAAATCGCATCATATGACCCGTTTAAATAATGTTAACACATTGCATGCAACTTGAATATTAAGAAATGTAAATGTATAAATCTTTAACAAGGTAAATGTATATATCTCTATGTGGACCATATACTGTCTGTTGTCGGTTTCTCCCATGTTTTTCTCTCTCTCCATTTCTGTCACCGACAGAGATTTGGTTCCTTGCCGCTGTCGCTGAACTGAATGATGACATCACTGAATCATCAATGAACTGACCTTAACTGAAAAATTGACTGTATGCTCTAGTGATGGGAAGTTCGGATCATTTTACCGACTCGGACCTTTGAGTCTCGGTCAGCAAAATGAACGAATATTTTTTCGAGTCATTTCGTTCATTTTAGCAAAATATAATTAAAATGTTACGTGTTACTTCCCTAACACGTCTACTACTTACGCAAACGTTGATCACACTACAAACAATACAAAACTGCTATAAGAAACAGAAAAGATTAATTAATTGTTTACCTGGGTCTTCAGTCTATGATTAGCTCACCTCACCACTTATCTGACAAATCTTCGGGTTTGAGTCGTTCCTTCATCACGTGACAGCCCCATAAGCTTTAACCAATGCAGTCTGAGCCGGAAAGAGAATTGATTAGTTCATCTCTCGAGTCTTTCGAATC